GAACCACTGTATCATCTGCTATCTAAAACTCCTGACTGTTCTCTTTGTCTGTGATTCATTTTGGCCAATTATTCTTGATTAAAGCTTTCCAGCTACAGGCCACTTTTACACTGGAGTATCCTGTGCAGTATTTGAATGCTTGTAGTCAAGCCTCAGTCTGTGTCCTCTCCTTGTTGTCTCCAGTAATATTTGGCCTAGCTTTGCATTTGAAAATAGTCCTGCTGCTGGTCGGTTTTATACTTCTAAGTAATATGCAGTCTCTTAATTCGTGTAATAAAACAACTGTCAGTATTCTTTTCCTCTATTACATTTTGGCCAATTCTCCGATATTACAGATGTCCTGTTGCTGGACAAATTCTGAGTGTCAAAGTAACCCATATGGTAAAAAAATATATTTGAAAAATATTCTTCCCAAATATATTGTCATATTATTAATATTATTATTATTATTATTATTATACAGGATTTATATAGCGCTAACAGTTTGCTCAGTGCATTATAATATAACTGGAGACAATACAGCAACAATACAGTTCAATACAAGAGGGTTAGGAGGGCCCTGCTCCTTGGAGCTTACAATCTAAGAGGGAGGGGCTAGTGGTACTAAAAGTGAGCAAAGTAGGCAATAGTCTGATAAATTGGGGTAGAGAGTTCCAGAGGATGGGGGAAGCTCTGGAGAAGCATGGGAGGGGGAGACGAGGGAGCTAAAGAGCAGGAGGTCATGCAAGAAGCGGAGAGAACGGTTTGGGTGATATTTGGAGACAAGATTGGAGATGTAATTTGGGGCAAAGTTATACATGGCTGTATATGTTATTGTTAATGTTTTGAATTTTATCCGTTGGGCAATGGGAAGCCAGTGGAGGGATTGGCAGAGAGGGGTGGCAGATACAGAATGGTTAGTAAGGTGGATGAGTCTGGCAGCAGCATTCATGATAGACTGAAGAGGGGATAGCCTGCAATGTGGTAGGCCAATGAGGAGGGAGTTACAATAGTCAAGGCTAGAGATAACAAGGGAGTGAATAAGTTGTTTAGTAGTTTCCGAGGTTAAAAACGGCCATATCATGGAGATGTTGCGATTGGATTTGGGGCTGAAAGGACAGATTGGAGTGTAGGATCACACCTAGTACCCTGGCATGAGGGGAGGGACTGATGGTTGTATTATTGGTCTTGATGGAGAAGTCAGGGGAGGGGGCATGGGCTGCAGGGAATACTAAGAGCTCAGTTTTGGAAAGACTGAGTTTGAGGAAGTGGAGTGACATCCATGCCAATATGTCACTTAGTAGGAAAGTAATGAGAGCGGAGACTGAAGGGGTGAGGTGAGGAGTAGAAAGATAGATTTGTACGTCATCAGCATAGAGCCATGGGAATTTATCAAGTGACCAAGGGAGGAGGTATAGATGGAGAAGAGAAGGGGTCCAAGGACATAACCTTGAGGGACCCCTACAGAAAGAGGGAGTGGAGAGGAGGAGACAGAGTTATAGGTAACGCTAAAGGAGCACTGCGATAGGTAGGAGGAGAACCAGGAGAGAGCAGAGTCTCTGAGGCCAAGAGAGTGGAGTTTTTTGAGGAGGAGGGGATGGTCAACAGTATCAAAGGCCGCAGAGAGGTCAAGTAGTAAGAGTACAGAGTAGTGGCCATTGGTTTTAGCAGTTAGTAGATCATTAGTGAGTTTTAGTAGGGCAGTTTCAGTGGAGTGTTGTGAGCAAAAGCCAGACTGTAAAGGGTCAAGAAGGTTGTTGTCAGTGAGGTAGGAGCTCAGGCGATTGTAGACTAAGCGTTCAGAGAGTTTAGAGGTGAATGGGAGCAGGGAGATAGGTCTTAGTTGTTCATGTTGGTGGGGTCCAGGGAGGGCTTTTTAAGCATGGGAGTGATGTGTGCATGCTTTAGAGGGGTGGGGAAGGCACCGTTAGAGAGGGAGAGATTGAAGATGGAAGAAGAGGGTGACCGTAGTAATTGTGAGGGGACAGGATCCAGGGGGCAGGTAGTGAGATGGGCTTCTGAGAAAACCTTAGTGACCTCTTTAGTAGTAGCAAGGTCAAAAGAGGAAAGTGTTGAGGGAAGTTTAGTATAAGGTATGTTAAGTGGGACGGATGTCTGTGCAGTCGAGATGCCCCTACGAATTGCATCAGTCTTGTTTTTTAAATGATTTGCAATCTCGTAAGCAGTGAGTTAGGTGCTGTGGAGGTGAAGGTGGAGAAAGTAGAGAGTTAAAAGTAGAGAAGAGATGGTGGGGACTGGATGACAAGCTATTGATGAGAGTGACAAAGTAGGCTTGTTTGGCAGCATGGAGGGAGGAATTGTATGTTAATAAAGCAGATTTATATAGGGTGAAAGCTTGTTGTGATTTAGTTTTACGCCACATTCGCTCCAGCGCACGACTATGTCTCTTAAGATTTCTGGTGTTGTCAGTCTGCCAAGATTGTAACGGTCGGGGCCTGATGCTTTGTGCGGTTAGAGAAGCAAGTGAGTCTAATGTGGATGAAAGACAGCAGTGGGCAGGGCAGGGGAGAGATTCTGTCATAGAGGTGGTCAGTTGGTCAGGTGGTCAGAGTAGAAAAGAGAAGGGTTAAAGTTGTGAAGGTAATTGTTTGCTGCTTGGAGGGATAGGTGTTTGAAGACAAGAAGACTGTGAAGGTGATGAGATTGTGATCAGAGAGAGGAAAGGAGGTGTTTGCGTGGTTATAGGGAGTGCAAAGATGGGAAAAGACAAGGTCTAATGTATTCCCATCACAGTGAGTGGAGGACTGTCCATTGCGTTAAGGCAAAAGATGAGGTTAGGTTGAAGAGCTGGGATGTAGCCGGGTTGTTGACATTAATGGGGATGTTAAAATCTCCAAGAATGATAGTGGGTATTTCAGAGGAGAGAAAGTAGGGTAGCCAGGAAGAGAAGTCATCAAGAAAGCGGGACACGGTCCAAGAGGCCAATAGATCACTGCAATCCTCAGAGAAATGGGAGAAAACAGGCGAATGCAGTGAGTTTCGAAAGAAGAGAAGGATAGAGAGGGAGGGTTACGGAGGACTTGAAAGGTGCTCAGTGGGGATAGAAGCAAGCCAACGCCACCACCTTTCTGACCACTGGGTCTGGGTGAGCGGGTCCAGAGAAGGCCTCCTTAGGAAAGTGCTGTGGGAGAAGCAGAATCTGCTGTTTGAAGCCAGGTTTCTGTAATTGCTAGTGGGTTAAGGGAGAGGGAGACAAAAAGGTCATGGACAGAGGTGAGCTTATTACAGACACAGCGGGCATTCCAGAGCGCACATGAAAAATGGAGGGTGGTTTTTATTATCATGGGGATTGAGATTAGATTAAGCGGATTGCGGCTATTCCCAGAGGAAAGAGGGTTCCTGGTGTGGGGATGAAATAGTGGAGGACCAGGGTTTGGGGAGATATCCCCAGAGGTTAGGAGAAGGAGGATGAGGAAAGTAAGGTGGGAGAGGGATGTATATAGGTGCACATGCCTTCCTGTCCTGGTGTTTGGGTCAGCAGGGGAGTAAAGTATCAGCAGGAGGTGATGAGAGCAGTAGTAGGGAGATGGTAGCAGTGAGGGTGAAATGTATAAGCTTTGGGGTGGAGCACAGGGGTAAAGAAATGAGATTTTGGGAACACAGGATAGTAATATGAAAAGGAGGAGTAGAGGGGGCATATTAAAAAGGTACACAGAGTGGGACTCAGACTTGTAGGAAATGTTTCCCAGGGTGTTTGCTTGCAGTCCATCCAGCGTGCAGTAGAGTTCTTTGTTGTATCTTTCCTGCTGCTTGAGTTATCCTGCTTTAGTTAAACTGCTGTGTTCAACTGCGTCTTCACACTCCAGCCTCAAACACTCACGCAGAGAGCTGCACCCTGGTCTATGACCTCCCTCATGAGCTGGTCTAGATTTATAGGGAGATGGTCAAATGAGCAACTCTTCGCCCCAATTAGGAACTGATAAGGATCACATGAATTGGGGGGGGGGGATGTTTCTCAAAGACAGACCAGCCACAGACACAGGCGAAAGTCATAAATGAAATGCAAGAGGAGGTGAGAATCAATCACAAACACACCAAAGATATACATTAATTGTTCTGAGTTTTGCAAAAAGTCTATGTGTTGCAGAAATTAAAGAATAAGGTGGAGATGACAGCAGAGGAGAGCAGCATTTACCCATATATTTGAAATGCTACAATTTTAACTATATTCAATATATTTAAAAAAAAAAAAAAAAAATATATATATATATATATATATATATATATATATATATATATATATACTGCGTGTTGAAATGAGTTTTTATTACAAAATATATGAAAAATATTTTTAAAAATACATTTCAAATATACTGTATGTTGTTAAAAATACAAATCTACATTTTTGGAATGCATTTACAAATATATGTAAAAATATATGTTAAAATGCCTTTTTTTTATATGTAAAAAAAAATATCTGAAGAATATATTTTTAAAAAAACATATTTTTTAAAAATATATTCTTCCGATTTTTTTTTAACATATAAAAAAATTTATTTTAACATATATTTTTACATATATTTGTAAATGCATTCCAAAAATGTAGATTTGTATTTTTAAAGACATACAGTATATTTGAAATGTATTTTTAAAAATATTTTTCATATATTTTGTAATAAAAATGCATTTCAACATGCAGTGTATATATATATATATATATATATATATATATATATATATATATATATATATATTTGAGAAGAATATTTTTTAAATATATTTCAGATATATTTTTCTTCCATGTGGGAAGTCTAACACCATTTGATAGACAGCATGTGTTGCTGCTAAAGTTACCTTTTTCAAACAAAAATGAATCACATTGTGATTCTGCTGTTGTATAAGCAAAGCTAATTTAAAATAAATAAATAAGTTCACAGCCATATACCGTATACTGTTGCTGAATTCCATGACATCGCATATAGCTGTAATCCATTACAGGATTTGTGTGTTTTCAATAATGGCCTTCAAGCAGCATGAAACCATCCTCTTCACAATATATGTACACTATATTGCCAAAGTATTAGGACACCCCTCCAAATCATTGGATTCAGGTGTTCCAATCACCTCCATGGCCACAGGTGTATAAAATCAAGCACGCAGGCATGCAGACTGCTTCTACAAACATTTGTGAAAGAATGGGTCGCTATCAGGAACTCAGTGAATTCAAGCTCAGTACTGTGATAGGTTGCCACTTGTGCAATAAATCCATCTGTGAAATTTCCTTGCTACTAAATATTCCACGGTCAACTGTCAGTGGTATTATAACAAAGTGGAAGCAACTGGGAACAATAGCAACTCAGCCACGAAGTGGCAGGCCACTTAAAATGACAGAGTGGGGTCAGCGCATGCTGAAACGCACAGGGCGCAGAGGTTGGCAACTGTCTGCAGAGTCAATAGCTAAACACCTCCAAACTTCATGTGGCCTTCAGATTAGCACAACAGTGCATAGAGAGCTTCATGGAATGGGTTTCCATGGCCAAACAGCTGCATCCAAGCCTTACATCACCAAGTGCAATGCAAAGCGTCACATGCAGTGGTGTAAAGTGTGATGATGCTACTGGACTCTGGAGCATTGGAGACCTGTTCTCTGGCGTTACAAATCACACTTCTGTGTCTGGCAATCCAATGGATGTGTCTGGGTTTGGCGGTTGCCAGGAGAATGGTACTTGCCTGACAGCATTGTGCCAAGTGTAAAGTAGCTGTTATATTTCCTCTATCAAACTTCTCTGCTAGGATAAGACTTTGTCATTAGTATGCACTGTTTGATCCAAATACACTATATTGCCAAAAGTATTGGGACCCCCCTCCAAAGCTTTGGATTCAGGTGTTCCAATCACCTCAATGGCTACAGGTGTATAAAATCAAGCACCTAGGCATGCAGACTGCTTCTAAAAACATTTGTGAAAGAATGGGTTGCTCCCAGAAGCTCAGTGAGTTCAAGTGTGGTACTGTGATAGGTTGCCACCTGTGAAATAAGTCCATCCGTTCTATTAGAGACATAGAGAGCTTCATGGAATGGGTTTCCATAGCCGAGCAGCTGCATCCAAGACTTTCATCATCAAGTGCAATGCAAAGCATCGGATGCAGATGCAGAAAGCACACCGCCACTGGACTCTAGAGCAGTGGAGACATGTTCTCTGGAGTGACGAATCACACTTCTCTGTCTAGCAATCCGATGGATGTGTCTGGGTTTGGGGGTTGCCAGGAGAATGGCACTTGCCTGACCCCAAAGTGTAAACGTTTGGTGGAGGGGGGGATTATGGTGTGAGATTGTTTTCCAGGGGTTGGGCTTGGTCACTTAGTTCCAGTGAAGGGAACTCCTAAGGTGTCAGCATACCAAGACCTTTTGGACAATTTCATACTCTCAATTTTGTAAGAACAGTTTGGGGATGGCCCCTTCCTGTTCCAACATGACTGTGCACCAGTGCACAAAGAAAGGTCCATAAAGACATGAATGAGTGAGTTTGGGCTGGAGGAACTTGACTGGCCTGCACCCGATAGAACACCTTTGGGATGAATTAGAACAGAGGCTGCGAGGCAGGCCTTCTCATGTGACATCAGTGCCTGACCTCACAAATGCACTTCTGGAAGAATGGTCAAACATTCCCATAGACACACTCCTAAACCTTGTGGACAGCCTTCCCAGAAGAGTTGAAGCTGTTATAGCTGCAAAGGGTGGGCCAACTCATTATTGAACTCTACGGACTAAGACTGGGATTCCATTAAAATTCATGTGCGTGTAAAGACAGGCGACCCCTAATATCTCCATAAAAAGGGGTTTATTACCATTGGAGTGAGAACAATATTTCTAGCACAGGAGCTCTTAGTTCACTCTAAACTGATGAGCTGTAAAGGTTTTTAAAGTGTCACCTATGGTGATTTTTTGGCACCATTGTTTTTTGTGATATCATAGGTGCACACAATTTTAACACATGGCATGTTTGGTATCTATTTACTCAATGTAACCTTATCTTTTATATTTTACCAAAAAATGGGTATTATCTTGTGTTTGCACTAAAATTAATGTTATCATATTTTTTCTTTAAAAGTTGTATTTAATAAACAGTTCCGAAAATATTATGTGACATAAAAATTTGCAACTATCACCTTTTTATTCTACAGGGCCTTTGCTTTCAGAAAATATATAATGTTCTGGTGGTTAAGGTAATGTTATTGCCAAAACTGAAGATTTTTTACATGTGTGCGAAAAATAAAAAAAAAATAGCTCTGGAGCCGAACTGGCTAATATTTCTTCAGCTACTTCCTGCCTACCAGGCCTAGGCAAATGATGTCATACATCCCAGGAGTCTTCAGGAGAGTAGAGGGATTTTCCCAGCTAAGCACACCTCCTGCCAGCATGCCTGAACTAAGGGCAAGCGGATTCCATGAAGTAAATGCTACATGAATCATCTGCCCTTACTCAAGATGGCCATGGCCAGAAATGTGAGGGGATTCTCAGCAAAATAAGCATGGAGACATGGATGAATGGGCAAGTTTGCTTTGAATAATAAAAAATGAATTAAATAGCATTTTTGGGTTTTGGTGTTCAGATATAGTGTAGTTCCGCTTTAACTACAGAATTTGCTTAATCATACAGTAGACTTCAATGGGATTCTCCTCCTCTAAGTACACTACACAGATCCTGAACAGATTAACCCATGACTACTGGGGACAAATGACCATTGATTGCTTACTGTTAAGCAATTTAACAAATACGTTCTCAAGCACTAAAATATCATTCAGACATACATCTATAAAAAGAATGAAGAGGTAAAAGCTTATTAGTGTCAGAAATATTTAAATATTGTCTAAATCCTAACATTTCATGAGCAGCTTCTGAATGCAGCACTGACTTAAATACTGCATGCAATTTTGTTGATAAAGGTTTATGTTAGATTTGTGTTGAAGAGAAAGCAGTATCAGCAAGATGAATACAGCATATATATAGTTTTCACCCTTTAAAGTATTTTGGTTCAGCTTGAGCAGTGTACATCCTCCAGGGAGAATGTGAGAAAATGATCCTGTGATGGTGCTGTTCACTGATAATTGGAGGGTGGCAGGTATTATTCACCCCCACAATCACAGCTTATTTCCCATTAAAACACATTTTGAGCAACGAAACTTTACAAGTTGCTATGGCTCAGTAAGCCAATTCGCACACTATTAACACATCTGCAGTGCCGTACTACATCAGAATAACATTTACTCACCCTATAGGATTTGTGAACAAGCAACTTTCATGCAGGTTATGTACAACTTATTAGGTAAAATCTAAAAAAAAATCTAATTTATTATTATTATTATTATTATTATTATTACTACGAGTTTATATAGCGCCAAAGGGTTTGCTCAGCGCTGTACAATAGGGGGGGACAATACATGGCACAGTACAACAACAACAAACAACGTACGAGGGGTAAGAGGGCCCTACTCTTACGAGCTTACAATCTAGGAGGGGAGGGGGTAAAGGTACAGTAGGAAGTGGCTGAGGGGGATGAAGTGGTGGGGAGGAATGAGGGAGGATGGCCGTTAGGTGAGGGTGGGGTAGGCTTCCTGAAGAGATGGGTTTTGAGGGAGCGCCTGAATGTGAATAGGGAAGGCGACAGTCTGATGGATTGGGGCAGTGAGTTCCAGAGGATGGGGGAGGACCTGGAGAAAGTCCTGCAGTCGTGCATGGGAGGAGGAGACCAGGGAGCAGGATAGAAGGAGGTCCTGTGAGGAGCGAAGGGTACGGTAGGGTGGTACTTGGTGATCAGGTTGGTGAGGTAGTCAGGGGCAGTGTTGTGAACGGCTTTGTAGGTCAGGGTTAGGAGTTTTAAATTTGATGCGTTGGGCAATCGGGAGCCAGTGGAGGGAGAGGCAGAGGGGGGTGGCAGAGGTGGAGCGGGTGGTGAGGTGGATGAGTCTGGCAGCTGAGTTCAGGATGGTCTGGAGCGGGGAGAGCCTGCACTTGGGTAGGCCAGTGAGAAGGGAGTTGCAGTAGTCAAGGCGTGAGATGATGAGGGAGTGTACTAGAAGTTTGGTGGTGTCTGGGGTGAGGAAGGAGCGTATCTTGGCAATGTTGCGAAGATGGAGCCTGCATGTGTTTGTGAGTGATTTGACATGCGGTTGGAGGGAGAAGTTCGCGTCAAGAATGACGCCAAGGACTTTGGCTTGCGGGGCGGGAGTGATAGTGGAGTTTGTTGGTGATGATGGATAGGATGGGGGGGGGGGGGGTGGGGGTGTGGGCAGGGGAAAGATGAGGAGCTCGGTTTTGGAGAGGTTGAGCTTGAGGAAATGTAGCGACATCCAGTCTGAGATGTCATTTAGGAGGTGAGTGATGCGGGCGGAGATAGTGGGGGTGAGGTGAGGGGTGGAGAGGTAGATTTGGGTGTCGTCAGCATAGAGGTGATAGTTGAAGCCGTGAGATTGTATGAGTTTGCCCAGGGAGGAGGTGTAGATGGAGAAGAGAAGGGGTCAAGGACAGAGCCTTGGGGACCCCAACAGAGAGGGGGAGGGGAGGGGGAGGTGGCACCATTGTAGGTGACACTGAAGGAGCGTCGGGATAGGTAGGATGAGAACCAAGAGAGAGCAGTATCTCCGATGCCAAGGGAGAGTAGTTTTATTAAGGAGGAGGGGGTGGTCAACTGTGTCGAAGGCCGCAGAGAGGTCCAGGAGAAGGAGGACAGAGTAGTCGCCCTTGGCTTTGGCGTTGAGTAGGTCGTTAGTGATTTTGAGGAGGGCAGTTTCAGTGGAGTGTAGGGGACGGAAGCCGGACTGTAGAGGGTCAAGGAGGTTATTGTCTGTAAGGTGGGCGCTTAGGCGATCGTGAGACTATGCGTTCCAGGAGCTTGGAGGTGAGGGAGATGGGTCTGAGGTTGTTGGGGTCCGCGGGATCCAGGGAGGACTTTTTGAGGATGGGGTGATATGCGCGTGCTTTAGGGGGGAGGGGAATACGCCAGTAGAGAGGGAGAGATTGAAGATGTGGGTGAGGGAGTGGATGAGGGAAGAGGGGGGGTGACCGGAGGAGTTGAGAGTGAGAGGGGATAGGGTCTAGGGGCAGGAGGTAGTGAGGCGGGCTTTTGAGAGGACTTTGGCGACTTCCTCAGTAGTGAAAGGGCTGAGGGAGTGCAGTGCGGGGGGGGGGGTTATGGTGGGCGGGGCATTGGGGAGAGGAGGGGGGCAGTGCGGTTGTGAGGGCAGAGGAGGGGGGAGATGAAGGGGTGACGGGGGCGAGGAGGGCTAGGTGGGGAGGTACATTGCAAGTTGACGATGTTGTCCTTACGGATAGCGTCAATCTTGTTGTGGAAATGGGTGGCAATCTCGTGGGCGGGTGAGAGAGGTACTGAGTGGAGGAGGGGGGGGGGAGAGAGCAGGGAGTTGAAGGTGGAGAAGAGTCGGCGGGGGCAGGAGGAGAGAGGGTGTTTATTAGGTTAACAAAGTAGGCCTGCTTGGCGGCGTGGAGGGAGGAGTGTTAGATAAGAAATGCAGATTTGTAGAGGGAGAAAGTATGAGGGGACCTGGTTTTGCGCCACAGTCTCTCCAGTGCGCGACTGCG